GCCATGGGTCTTCTCTCTGCTGGGATCGGTGGTCATCGGTCTGAGTGGCATATTCCCACTGATCATCATTCCAACGGAGGAAAAAATGGCAAAAGAAGGATATAAAGATCGTAGGTTTCGGACTTAAGATAGTGCATATTTGAATTCAAAATGTTAACCATTATTAATTATACAGCTGCGGAATCTAAACTCCTGCGAGTTCTCCTAAGTTTTGCAGTCGGTGGACTCCTGGGTGATGTGTTTCTTCACTTGCTGCCAGAAGCCTGGGAAGGCGATAATCAAGGTGAGATTTGGATAGCCTTGTCCTTAATTTAATTTAACTTAAATAAAATTAATTTTCCTTAGATCCATCTAGTCACCCATCGCTGCGGTCGGGTCTTTGGGTCCTCTCCGGCATACTCATCTTCACAATAGTGGAGAAAATCTTCTCCGGATATGCCAGCGCGGACGAGGAAAATCCTCAGCCCAAGTGCGTCGAGATAGCCAACTGCCTGCTGCGGCGACATGGAGGAAAAATGCCTGAAGGTGGGACGTCCGAGAGTTGTGGTGGTGCCTGCGATATTGAAGATGTGGACAAAGTGTGCTTTCTCCGCGAACGGGAACTGAAGTCGAAGGAGAAGAAGGAACAGCCTAAGAAAGTGGCTGGCTATCTGAACCTCTTGGCCAACTCAATTGACAATTTCACACATGGTCTAGCTGTAGCTGGATCCTTTTTGGTATCCTTCAGACATGGAATCCTGGCCACATTTGCCATATTGCGTAAGTACTCAGTTGATCTTCTAACTCTTGAATAGGTAGTGCATACAAACCTCTTTCTCTACAGTGCATGAAATTCCGCACGAGGTAGGCGATTTTGCCATCCTGCTTCGATCCGGATTCAGTCGCTGGGACGCCGCGCGGGCGCAGCTCCTGACGGCGGGAGCTGGCCTTCTGGGCGCTCTGGTGGCCATCGGAGGCTCCGGCGTAACGTCGGCCATGGGTAAGCTTAACAGCGATTGTCAAGTGACAAACAAACTTAACTTATCTTTACATTTACAGAGGCACGTACTTCGTGGATCATGCCGTTCACCGCCGGCGGCTTTCTGCACATTGCCCTGGTCACAGTATTACCTGATCTCTTAAAGGAAGAGGAGCGGAAGGAGTCTATTAAGCAGCTGCTAGCACTGATATTTGGGATTGCGTTAATGGCCGTGATGACCATGCTATTCGAACACTAGGAACTTTAGCTAACAGAAGTATAAGATGAAAATTTAACCACAGTTTTAGTTCTCGCATGCTCTAAGATTGTCTTTGGCAGTTTCAAATTTACATGAATTTGTTGTACTTTATGGGATTCACCATCCTGTCTGCGTTATGTAATTATAGCCAATATGAATGATATTTAAACTACTGTTAATGATTACGTATTATTGTATCATACTTATGAAGCGAAAATTCAATAGACATTTAAGGGAGAGTCCTTGTCTCTCCACTATCCACGAAAATGTTCTCTCTAATAACTGCTTTCATTTGAAGGAACTGAGTTACTCTACTAACTAATCACATGACTTGCATGCCATCCAGGCAAACTGAAAGAAAAATTCAGACAAATGCACTTCCTATAAAAAACAAGTTGTTTTATTCCGTTTTTTCTTTGCAAATCATGTCTTGCAAGCTTATCTAGTGCCTTTATTTCTTAGACTTGATCTTCTTAAGGTAGAATTCCAACTCCTTGCCTTCCAAAATGTAGCCGTCGGAGCGACCGCACTGTCCGGGGCGGGAAGAAATGCAAGCTGGAAGAGGAAGGAATATATAGTTAATATATGGCAACTAGCAAAAAGTCAAATCAAATTGTTAAGTAATGAAATCAGAGTAACTATGACAAGCCGAATCACATCCAACAGGCTTGCATCTTTCTTAAAACAAGATCGATGCAATAAAGTAGCTGGATCGCTAAGGTTTTTACATCACTATAACATGATTTGAACATAATCAAGCGAAAATACACACCCAGGATGCGACCGGAGGTGAACTGATCCTCGAGGGCCTGCTCGACCTTGCCGTACTTTTGGCGCTCCAGGTACTTCTTCATGACCTTTTCGCTGCGCTTCTTGGTCAGCACGTCGTTCTCATCCTCCTTCTGGGCGTGCTTGGGGTTGCGCTTGCGTCCCAGGGGCAGGACATAGTGCGCCTCGTACCACTGACGGAAAGGCGTGGCATCAATCACCACGATGCTGTTCTTCACCAGAGTCTTGGTGCGCACCAGCTCGTTGTTGGAGGCGTTGTAAACCACATCGGCGATACGGGTCTTGCGGGCGACGCCCTCGGAGGCCCAGGCGAAGTTGCCGTTCTCCAGGCGCAGAGCACGGAGCTTGGTGTTTCCACCACGGGTGCGCACCGAGTGGACGCGGTTGCCTCCAAGCTGAAAACAGGAAAGATTTCTGGGTTAGTCCAGGTTATCTTTTGGTGAAAAACTTGTTGAGGAACAGGTTTATAATCAGTAGTCCGAACATAAAGCTTTTCAATCATCAAGAAGAGTGCAAAAGCACAATTGCAGTTGACACGCGTTAACATCATTTTATATTCTATGTGAATTCTAGGACCAGTTTTCTCACACTCCTGGCAAATTGATATTAGATTCTTTAACGTTTATCAAAGAAAGGATTAGAATATAGTCTGTGGTTAAAACAGATATATTTGATGTTTACCTATTAATGTTAAGATAAAACTAACAAGAAAGAAAGCAAACTTCGGCAAGCCGAAGTTTATATACCCTTGCAGCTATCGCAAGAATTAAATATTTTTGAAAACATTAAAATTATGATTTACTTGCGTATATGTTTAAAAACATTGAAGCTATGACGATTTGCAGCTTAATTATTTGATTGTTCTTTTATATATTTTTATTATTTGTATGGGAGCTATATGATATAGTCGTCCGATTTTGATGAAATTTAAACCATAATTCTGAAATATTTAACCATTGCTATTATCGAAGAACTAAAAAAAAAATTAAAAAACAGCAAAGTTATAATTTTTTTCAATTATTTTTCCGATTGTTCCTATGGGAGCTATATGCTATAGTCGTCCGATTTTGATGAAATTTTAACCATAATTCTGAAATATTTAACCATTGCTATATGTCGAAGAACTAAACAAAAAATCAAAAAACAGCAAAGTTATAATTTTTTTTTTAATTATTATTCCGATTGTTCCTATGGGAGCTATATGCTATAGTCGTCCGATTTTGATGAAATTTAAACCATAATTCTGAAATATTTAACCATTGCTATATGTCGAAGAACTAAACAAAAAATTAAAAAACAGCAAAGTTATAATTTTTTTTCAATTATTTTTCCGATTGTTCCTATGGGAGCTATATGCTATAGTCGTCCGATCCGGCTCGTTCCGACTTATATACTACCTGCAATAGAAAGACAACTTTTGGGAAAGTTTCATGCAGATAGCTTTAAAACTGAGAGACTAGTTTGCATATAAACGGACGGACAGACGGACAGACGGACGGACAGACGGACGGACAGACGGACATGGCTAGATCGACTCTACTAGTGATGCTGATCAAGAATATATATACTTTATAGGGTCGGAAACGTCTCCTTCACTGCGTTGCAAACTTCTGACTGAAATTATAATACCCTCTGCAAGGGTATAAAAATATGTAATGCGGTAGTCGGTAGTAGTATACAAAAAATTTAACCACGCGTTTCTCTTGAGATATCATTTTGTATTGACAATATTATGGGCCTAAGTAAATCAGCATTCAGCTGAAAAATGCCATAAACGGCAATTATTTCGATTAAAGATTTTTAAATTAATCAATCCAAGTTTACAAGAAGACATCCGCATGGTTAAAACCAAACCAAAAAAATTTGCGAGTTTCATAAGGGCTACTTTTTAGATATTTCCGATCACATACAACATTTACCGAGTTAATTGAGAGCCTTAGCAGGAGTATGAGAAACTGGAGCTGGAATTCAGGTATAGGGATTATCCGGGTATTATCTTTACCTTGGTGTTGGCGGCGGGGCGGCCCAGCTCGAACTTGCGCTTCTTGCGGAGCGACTTGCGCTTGCCTCCGGTTGCCCGGCGTTTGTGTGCACTATCGCGGCTAATACCTTGCAACAAAAAATAATAACAATTTAGTACAAGTTATACGGAGTCGGGCCGAAAAATCAAGAACATGGGCACGTTGTCGGAGCACTCAAAACAGCCGCATTGCAGGCGCACCAAGTTAATTTCACTCATATTTCGTTAAATGCACATATTCCCAGTTGCCGTTTAGTCGATGCAGTTGTAAACGTACTTTATGCGCACTTTCATTATGTTTGCAGGCCAGTTTCAGCCCATTTTCTTGATATTTCGACTCATTTTGCGAGAGCTGACTTACCCATGGTCGAGTAAAAAGCGAGAAAGAAAGGAAAAGACACGCACAGCACCTCGTGTCAAAAAAGTGGGGTTATCTTTTTGACATTTGACGCGGAGGGGCAACGCCGCGCTGTTAACTCTGCGCTTAACAGAACACCAAGTGCTGTTAAAAAAATTTAAATAAAAAATATTCGTAACAACTTTAAAAGAATGCTCTATATTTTTTCTGCGAAATTTATATTATATTTATTATATTTCATAACAATATTCAAAATTTAAAAGAACCCTATCATAATTCAAAGTTTTTTCATTTGGTCATAATAATTTAAGTCAGATACCGTAACACAATTAAAACATTTGTTTTAAAAATCAAAAGGAACGTTCTTTTAACAATATTTATTTTATTCAAAAGATATTTTAAAAATGTATTTTCGACCTAAAAAAAATCGATTTTCGATTTTAATGTATTTAAATAAAAATTAAAAATTATAGTACTATTAAATTATAAACGATAGTATCGAATAGTTTTCTGGCAACATTGGCGCCAACTTTTGCCTAGCAGTTATGTTCAAAGATTTTATGTTCACGGTGCTGCCAGATCGCCGATACCGATAGCATCGAATAATCTTCGATAGTATCGAACAAGGATCGATGTATCTGCCAGCTCTATTTTGCACCGAAAATAATTGCAATTTGATAAATAAACGCGACAATTGCAAACAATTTGGCCAGGAGCTGCCGAAGGCGTCGATAGGATTTGCCGCCGGGGATTGCTAATGCAACTATGGTTGGGAAAAACTTCAAGGCTCTAGCGCACTTTCACCGCCTGACCGAATACATAGTACAGTGCAAGCACTGCGACAAAACACTGTCCTCCAAGCACACCTCTTCCAATCTGACGCGCCATTTGATCCGGAATCACAAGCTCTTGGCCCGCACCATTTTCGCCGGCGAGGAGGGCAAGATGCTGGCTGAGCTCAAGGACGAGCTGGAGGCCTCCGTCTCCGAGGATCTCAGCATGGAGCTCGCCGAGGGCGAGGGCGAGACCAAGTCGGCGGTGCGCGGCATTATGGGCGTGAAAAGGGAGCAGCAGGAGATGGAGCGGCACAACCACGAGGTGGAGATGCGCAACAAGGTGATCGGGAAGAACAATAAGCTGTGGGCGCACTTCATCCGTATCTCGGAGTTCATGGCCAAGTGCATGCATTGCGGGAAAACGCTCTCCTCGAAGCACTCGTCCTCCAATCTGATGCGCCACATTGTGCGGCGTCACAACAATCTGGCCAAGACCCTCAACCACTCGCACCAGCACTTGATGACGCCCAAAAAAGAGGTATTCGGCAGCCTGGAACGACGGCAGGTCGCTGATCCTCTGGAGAAAGTCAACTTTGACGATGTGGACAGCATCATCGAAAAAGTGGCCGATCACCTGGACGAAGAGGTTTGTCCCGGGGCTTTTTACCGACTCACCTTCTACATATACCTTCGATCTCTGGTTTAAGGTCACTTCGATTTCGCTGCAGGAACCTTTCTATGAGTACGTGGTGGACAACTCCGACTCCGTGGTGGTGGACAGGTGCGAGGAGCCGGAGCCAGCGGACATGCACAACATGATGCCGCCGGATAGCGCCTCACTGGCGGAGACCACCACCCAGCTCGACGAGAAGCTCAAGGCGGAGACGATATACTACAACGAAATGGCTGAGTTGGCCAGGGCCAAGCGACGGCTCATCGATCTGCAGACCAAGAAGCTTCTGCTCGACATGAACGTGGTGGACAACTAGCCAACTGACGATTATTACTTCTTGTATTTGTAGGAGGATAAGATGGGCAATATGATTATTTACTCTTAGGAACTATTATACTTTTAACGACATTACGGACTGTGCATTTATTGTGCGGGTGGTTCATTAATTTTCAATAGGTTGTACATAGATAAAAACATTTTTGCAATAGATGGTAAAGAATGTACTTGGTTTTACCATCTCTTTTTAGTTTTTTCGGCATTAAAATCGACTTTTTAACTTGAATATTAAATCCGAAAGCAATTTGATTTGGCCAAGATTTACATTATCTTAATTTGAAGTTCTAAATCTAACCAACGGACTTCCAGCTGAATTATTCTTATCATATTCATAATTATAACTGGACAAACCATATATTTCAATATTATTTTAAAAAATCTTAAATAACTTATATATAAGCAAATTTTTAGTTGTTCGATTTTGGTGGGATAATTTAAGTGCCGTGCTGTGGTCACACTATTTTTTCAAGGAACCTGGATGTCTCTTTCCGCGCGTTTAGAATGGTTCAATCTGTAATTTTTGAGAATTTTAGAGATGTCTAGATATTCACCAGAAGATCAGCGCTTCACCGGCACCTGGGAGAACATAGCGATCGATCCGGGTGAAAATGGTTTGTACTATATTGCTGGTTTTCTCTCTAATAACTATGTGCGCTTTTAGTTTCTGAAGAACTGGAGGGCTCACTCTGGAGTCGCCGTTCAAGATCAGAATACCCACAGGACGATGGTCAAACAAATAGATTCCGTTGTGTGGATCAGTCAGAAATCCCAAATGAAATCTCTCATCAGCAGCGAAAGCGAAAGAGATCAGAGGATCTGAGCGGGATGGCTCCAAAATCTTCAAAACAAACACCTCCGTCAAGTTCGGATTGGAAGTACAATGAGTTGCTACGGGACAACCTGACGATGGCTCTGGTGGACGAGCTCCACAAAGACGGTCACCTGCTCCGCGAAACATGGCCTGAGATCGAGACCAGGCTGGCCAATATGGTGACCGATAGACTCCTGTCCGTGCCACATGGTCCCAACCCCTTCTTTGACTCGTCGCTCGTTATCCGGGGCCATCGGGTGATCAGGTGCGTCGATGGCTTCTCAAAGATCTTCCTAGAGGATTGCGTGGCCACCATTGGTGACGCATGGCACGGCCTGCGCATCAAACTTGTCCACGCCAGCCAGATTCCTTGTCAGGGGGACGAGGCAGCCGGGCAAGCACACCAGAGCACTGAGGAAACGGAGGAGAACTCGTTCGGCTGGATATTACCTCGGGGAGCACAATTGTCCCACATTGCGATTGGGAAGATCCAGGAACGGCAGCTGAATAAGCGGAAAGGCAATTCCTCGGCATTTCTGCTTGAAGATGGGTCGAAAACATGGAGAGTAAGGCTAGGCCGTGGCCTTCGAGTACGCATCACGGAGCACTCTCCTCCCGCGGAGAAGATGAACCAGTCACAGGAGGAAGAGGAGCTCACAGAGGCGATTAACCATGCAGTCGATTTAAGGGGGACGGAACCGATTTCCCCATTGGAGATTGCGGAGTTAATGGATGAGATAGAGCAGGTATTGGCAACCGAGGAGTCAATTGGCCGACCTATTGACGTAGAGCAAGCTCTGCAGACGGAAGAGATAGAGCAAGAGGTGAGAGCAGTGGAATCGGAACAGGAGGTGGAGAATTCGCTTGGCTGGATAGTCCCACTGGGAGCTGAGCTTCCTGAGACTGTGATCCTGCAAATCCAAAACCGACTGCTAAAAAAGCCGCATGGAAAACGGTACCGATGCCGTCTTGACGATGGTTCAAAAACCTGGAGAGTGACCATTGGCCACAGTAATCACGTAGGCCTCAGACAAAATGAGCAAAATAAGAATACGGAGAAGGGGAAAGACAAGACGCAGTACAATCCTGGCGCTGAGGAGATTACCCAGGCGGAGCAGCCGAACCAGGCAGAGGCGATGAACCAGTCAGATGAGATCGACGAGTCGGAACAATTGGCCAAGAAAGTGAAGGTGGAGCTGACGGATGAGATAGCGCCGTCGGTGCGAAACTCGTTCGGCTGGATACTGCCTCTGGGAGCTAAATTGTCTGATGCTACTGTTCTGGAGATCCAGGGCCGAGTGCTGAGTATGCCGGTAGGCGAACGCCGATGGTTTCTGCATAGAGATGGTTCGAAAACCTGGAGAATCACCGTGGGCCCTGACCATCGAATACGCATCACCGAGCACACTCCTCCACACACAGATGTGATGAACCCATCAAAAGAGGAACAGGAGCAGACAGAGGAAATAAACCACCAGAAAGACGAGGCGGTAAAGTCGGTACAAATTGCCCAGACAGAGAAGATGGATACGGCCCAGACGGGCAAAATTAAGAGAATCGACCAGAAGGATGATATAAATCAAACGAATGAAATGAAGAAAGCAGAAGATAAGGAGCAGATGCCGAAAATGGAGCAGAGGGTGAATAATGAGCTGACCGAAGTGATGGAGCAGCCAAATAATTTAAAGCATCCGGTGGAGCAATCGTTCCACTGGATATTACTACATGCGGCGCAATTGACCGACACTGCGAGCCTGGAGATCCAGAAGCGACTGCTCAATAGGACGAAAGGAGACAGTCACCAATTCGTGGTTAGGGATGGGCCAAAGTCCTGGAAAGTGACCGTCTACGGAGGCTATCAAGTACGCATCGCCCAGCTTTCGGAGGATGCGAATCAGACGGAAAAGTTGGAGGAGACCGAGGAGAATTCGTTCGGCTGGACATTACCGCAGGGAGCTGAACTTTCGGAGACTGCAATCATGGAGATCCAGAACCGACTGTTGCATAAGCCAAATGGAAAACGATACAAATTTATTCTTACGGATGAGCCGAAAACTTGGAGCGTGACTCTAGGCGGAGGCTATATGGTACTCATTGCCCAACAGCAGGAGAACATGGAGCAGGTTGAGGTCAAGGAGCAGGAGGAGAGTGCGAAGCAGACGAAGGATACGGAGCAACCGGAAGAAATAGAGCAAACGAAAAAGACGGAGAAAACGGAGAATTCCTTAGGCTGGAGTTTACTTGGTGGAGTAAATCCTTCCGAAACTGCTATCCAGCAAATTAAAAGTCGGCTATTAAAAAGAAAGAGTAGAAAACGTTACCGATTCCTAATTAAAGATGGCACGATAGCCCTTAGAGTATCCTTTATGGGTCAAAGAGTACTAATAGCGAAGTACTATCCTTCAGGGGGAACCAGGCAGCATATGGAGGATACGGAACAGACGGTGATAAACGAAAAGAAAGAATAACATTTAAAGGTAAAAACTTTTATATCAATACGAATTTGAATTGATTAATCTGCTATTTTATCACATTGTTGATGAAAAACAAAAGTTTAACAAATTTATCCTGAAAAAATTCAATGTTTTGTTTAAACATTCAAAATCTTTAAGTAAATTTAAGAAAATCAATGTTATTGAAAAAACATCACGCTCATTTAAAACTTAGTATACATATATAAAAAAAATGCTTTCCTTTTTTTTGTATTTTCAAATATTTAAGAAATTTATTCAAAATTATCTATGGTTTAAAACACCGCTAAAATCATGGAACTTCACCATTCATTGGCAAAATTAAAGGTTTTTTTAGGCATTTTTTCCCTGATTATTTGTGACGTATTTTTGTTTTGCGTGGTAAATCCAATCACAACATTGAAATAAGTTTATTCAAATGTATAATAATTGGCCAAAATTGGAGCGGAGTCCCTGCTCCTGGGACAAAATGAAGGCTGAACAGGACGACAATTCAATTGACGATGATGGTCAGTCAAATATTGCCAGGTTGTTCCACACTAACTTGTCTTTATGCTTTCCCAAGATCAAAAATGTTACCTCTGGCGTCGCCGTGCTAAATCCGAATCCCCAACTGATGTTTATGAAGATAAGCGGTCGTTTTTCCCCCAGGACAACAGCCAAGTCAATGGATTCAATGGTCTGGAGCAGCCGAAAAGCTCCAAAAAAAGTCCCCATCTGGTGCAAAGGACTCAGGTGAACCGGGCTCGCTTTATTCTGGCAAAGATTGCCAAGAACGAAGCGAAGGGCAGAACACATCCGAATGATGCGCGGGACAAGGTCCGATGCCTGGCTACGATCGAGAAGTTCGAGAAACACAAACGGGAGAATCCCCCGGACTTCCAGCTTCCAAACCCACAGCCGAAGCAAAAAGGACCGCCAGTGAAAAGGCGCAGATCGGCCAAAAGGTCAAAGGCTGGTGGCCCACCTAAGACTAAGAAGTTGAATGAGGTGGTAGAGGACAACCTAGTAATGGCCCTGGTGGACGAGCTCCACGATGATGGTCGTCTGCTGAACGAAAAGTGGGAGGAGATTGAGAGCATATTGGCAGACATGGTGACCGACAGACTCATGGCCGTGCCACAGGGTCCCATCCCGTCCTTCGACTCCTCCGAAGTGATCCGTGGTCACCGGGTGATCAGGTGCGACGACGGGTTCTCGAAAATCTTCCTGGCAGAGTGCGTGTCCCGTATTGGTGACTCTTGGAATGGCCTACGCATCAGGCTCGTCCATGCCAGCCAGATTCCCCGGAGACCTCAAGCTCGCATCTGGTTGCCCAAGGGGCAAACGGATTACACGAGGGTCATGAGCTGCCTCAGAGCTCAGAATCTGGACGTGGATATGTCGGACTGGGTCATTCTCAGGGCCGAGGAAGTCTTGAAGGCAAGTCAGCCTTTTGTGTTGCTCATAAACCATCGTTGCCTCCCGCAACTGGAAGCCTCCGACTACAAGGTTCGCTACGGCATCAGAATGGCCAAGGTCAAGGTCCTTTTAGCCGAAACCGATAAGTTATCAGAGGAAGACGTCGAGATTGTGTCCTGGAAACGTGAAGAGAACTTCCCAAGTTCCAGTAAATCTCGTCGTTCTTCCAAAGAATGACGACTCCCACATACTAATAGTATGCTTAGACCAGAAGCTAGAAAGCCTCAGGTTTAAGGCCATAAACATTAACCATATTATACTCAAAGTCGACCACAAGACCAAGAGGATTTAAGAAACTAAAATTACTTTAAGAACTCGCTCAATTTTAGGAAAAAAATCCTGAAGCGGACATCCACGTGTTTTATTTAAATATATTAAGGAATCCTCATATCTTATCATTTGGTTATTTCTTTATTCTATAATTGCTGCTGTATTTAATATGAATACAGGATTTATTTTAAAATACTGAAATAAAACTAAAAATTTTGTTAAATAGAATTTTCTGTAGTTTTATTTTGAGTACTTTGCAATTAAACATTCTAATGTGGAAACCCCTCATGGTTCACAGCCAAGCTGAATTTTTAGCAAAGTTCCACACCATCTAGCATATGCATGTGTGGAAAAATAAGTGTTATACTTATGAGTATTTTTCTATCGGTGCTGTACGGTCACATTGATTCCGTAGGAGGCTTCGCTTTTTTTTATTTCGCACGGAAAATCTTAAAAGAAAAACTCTGTATAGAAGTCAATAGGCAAAAAACGAGATGTCCAGCTTTTCGCCAAACCAACTGCGCCAGTGCACCCGTTTCACCGGCACGCCTTGCACACCGGACAGGGAGCAGCAGCTGCGGGATCAAATCCACAGCGAGCTGGCCAAGATCAAGTACTGCGCCAATCCCACCTACGAGTGCAGTCTGTTGCGGATTGAGGGCTACGAATACTGCATCCGGCACATATTGCGCGACCCGCGCGCCAACTACCGCCAGTGCTCGCACGTCTACTCGAACGGGAGGAAGTGCATCAATGCGGTGGCCAAGTACGACAACAAGAAGGAGCAGATACTGACCACCTTGTGCTTCGAGCACAACCGCCAGTCGCAGCTGCAAAAAACCCATCAGAATGTGGGACGCATTCGCAGTCGCGTGGAGACCAACGAGACCCTGCTGCACAGCCTCTCGTCCCACATCAATGTGGATGACATCAAGCCGGAGGTTCCCAAAACCGAACCCCATGATGATGATGAAATCGATGTGGTCTCGCCCCATGTAACTCCATTTGGTAGGTCATATAATAAAGGGTTCTCAAGTATTTGGCTAAAACTTCATCTCCCTAGTCACCCAAGATCACCGAAATACCATTGGCCACGTTGTGGATAGCTCACGCAAGCGTCGCCGCATTCTGGATTATGCTTCTGATAGTTCCAGCAACGACGAGGATCCACCTTGTCTCAGGAACACCGCCCAGGACATAGAGTTTTACGAATCAGACTACGAGAGCGTTGATTCTGAAGATGATGATCCTCTAAAGTAAGATTTAAATGCCTTTTCCGGTTTTCATTGTTTGGAAATATGTTTCATAATATTGATTTACTGTATGTCTCTTAAAAATGCATGTTTACTGGGATTCAAAATTAAGACTTGCGCTAAGCATATTCAAAAAAGCACAGTGAAAACGGAAACAATCTTTTAAAAATCTTTTTGTTCAGTACTTAACTAAAACTAAATATTTTTTCAGACATGCTGGTGTCTATACACGTGCAGAGGCTGTTAGGATTGCCGAGACCAAGTTGATTAAGCTTCAGGGCCTTTATCGCGAGCAGATTTCCCATCTGCAGAGTGTACTGAAGCAGCGACGTCGCAAGTACTTGCACGACATACGTCGCGAACGAGAGCTGTATTGTAAGCTTTATAAGAATTAAGGATAGAGTGAGAAAGATTATCGAATATTATATTTACAGGTAGCATCCATGACCAGCTGAAGGAAACGCCGCACGAGCGGAAGCTGTACGAACAGCTAAAGGCGCTGAACAGCTACCATCGTCGCCAGGGCATGGAGGCTGTGCTCTACAAGAAACTAAAGGAAAAGCGCGCCCGAGACACCTTGTATGCATCGAAGTCGTCGAGCAACCCAAAGTGCGTCTTCACCGAGGGCGGTGTCAAGTGCGGCGAGCGAACGCTGCCCTGCTGCAAGCACTGCCGCAAGCACATTCTGGAGGACAAGCGCCAGGTCCTGTTCCGGGCATGCGGCGTGGAACGCAGTGGGGTGGTCTGCCAGGAGCCGGTGGCCAGCATACTTGAAGACTCCAGTTGCGTACTGCACCTGACAGTGGCGCCGGCTAAGCGCCAGTATATACAAAAGGTGCGTTGATTAAAAAAATTAAACCTAACCCACGCCATAACCACCACACGTAACTACTTAAATATTCCAACTGCCTCTTCACTCATTGCCATAAGTTGTGTTGCACATGACTGCAGAAACGAACCTACAGTGATTGAGCTGTAGAACAGTTTTAACATACAATACTGCGTAACTAGTATTTAGAGTTGATTTGTAGTAAAGCTAAGTAGATCTACTGAGAAACAACGAAACACATGTACATAAGTGCTAGTATTGTCTATTAAGCCTTTTGTGATCCACCCCGAATAAATTGCCGACCTCTCATCCTCCAGTTTTATGAACTTCCAAGCACTCCGCCGCTAGAAAGTATTTTCGCAGCAGGCCGTGGTCTCGATAATTTTGTCGCAGAAGACCCACAAATTGATCCGCACGCGGAAGGCGATGATCTGTTGGATTTTGCAAGTGGTATATTCGAGTTTGATCTCGACACGGCCGATGATCTGGCGAACTCCATCGAGGATGAGTGCGCCATGTTTCTTGACATGGACAGTGACCTGGGCTTGGCCATTGAGGAGCGCAGTGTGGACAGTGCCCGTGTAGATTTTGGCTACGAACACGAAGCCAAAGAAGTATTAAACTCAAGATCGTTTAATACTTCTTCCGCTGAAAGTCAAGACCAAGAAAAACTCATCGCAAGCCAGCTAGGTTTGGATGAATCCCACGTGCCCGACAGTAGCGAACTTAATTTTGAAATCGACGAGTCTGACAGAACTGTTAACGAAGTATTGAAAATGCTCGAAGGCATCGAGCAAATGCCCTGGTTTGATGCCCTAATGAACTAGTTCGATATTATAGTAAATGTAATGACCTTCAACCCTAACCATAATCCAAACACTAGTTTTCTGTAGCCGTGCCTCTGATTGTTGATTACTTTACTTCACAGAAATGCGAGTCAGAGACCGAAGAAGATGAGACCCAGTCTGCGAGTGTGAGTAGCATTATAAAAACGGAAAAGGAGGAACCCACAGATAATCTGTTTGCGAGCCCAGTGCCTAACGTCACCACAGCTCATGGCGAGGACAAAAAAGACGATATTAAACTCATAGGGTCCATACCAAAGCAAACTAGCACTACTTCGTAAGGCATCGTAGAATAAATGTTTACTGTTGCAATCATTAATCAATATATGTTAAAAAAAGAATCGTAGATTTAAACCTCCTATTGGAACATGTCATTTGGTTTTGTAAGCTCTATTGTAATATTTGTTTCTCGGGAAAAAGGATTCCTTAATAAATAGTTAATCAAAACGGTTTGCTTGCACTTTTAATTATTTACATTTATTGGCTTTTCATAATTTATACAACTTAATATTGTGTATACATTTATGCACGTATAACTATGTATAATTAACAACTCATATTTCTTTATGAAAATGCATAGCTCTTGCAGTTTCCTTAGAGATATTAAATATGCACTCTGTTTGCTTAAAAGTAATGACTGTAATTATTTGATCTTAAAGCACAGTTAAATATATCAGTATTCAGTTCCTCCAATCAGCAGTATCTCTACTCGAATATTTACAGATTGCATGTGCTATGATTATGGATTGATGGCAACCGCTCTCGTTGTTAAAATGCGCTATTAAAATTAAAAATTGGCAGCTAAATATATTAACAAAGTCTGTTAAGTGTTGGAACCAGTTATCCTAATCGTTTGTCTACAGCTCCGTGGTAGTCTCAACCTCCGACCGATCCAAATCGTTCAGATAGGAGAAGCCTATTTGGCCATAGTCCCTTTTGCCAAAGGAAACGTTCTCATTTGTGCTGCTCAAGTGGTTGTGATCAGAACTGGACCTGTTAATATATATATATATATTTTTTTTATTTAATCACTGTGAAAACTTTTAGGCACTTTACCTTTGAAACAGCGGATTTGTGATGGGCACTTCGCCCCCATAAAGTCGGTTGTTCAGCTGGCCATTTCGACCCAGGGTGGCATTCATCAGCTCACCATTGCCATTGAGCAATCCCACGTCGCAGAAAGTGTTTCCCCGCCTGCCCATCGTACTGTAGGCATTATTCTTGGCATTTGCCATGTTGTTGGGCCCAGTGGGATCTATATTGTAGGCGCCGTTCTGGTAGTGGTTACTGTTCTGGTGCTTGATGCGACCCAGCGTCAAGGTCCCCGAGTGGGCACCTCCGTTCGGCGGGGATCCCAGTGGGTTGGCATTGTTGCGAGTGTTCATTTCCAGGGTCCGATTGAAGGTATTCTGTCGGTTATTTATGGCCAGATTGTTGTTCATGTTGGCATTGTTGAGGTTCTTGTGCCGACGCAGCGTGGCAATGGTGGCCGTCGTGGCGTCCGAGTGGGATGGACTGGACTGACCACCGCCCCCATTGGTGTTCTCCTTGTGCGTTATGTAGCTAACATTGTCCAGCGAGAAGGCATGGTTCTTGGCGCTAAAGTCCAGCTGCAGGTCGTCATCCACATCCGGCGGCACTGCCATCGCCAGCATCTGCGTTTCATACTCCTTCATGTTGGCTATGGTTTCACTGGCATTGGAGGCCTGCTGGTTAACGATCACCGGATCGTAACGGCTTGGATTCGTCGACGAATACTGGCGCATGCGTTGCTTAAAGTTTTTGTATCTATTAAAAATGAAATTTAAATTATTATTATAATTCAAATGTGCAATTTTGCACTCTAATTACGGTTTATGTTGGCACTAAAACTTTTATAAGCGACTATCAAAATAAAAAAAAAAGTTATGAAATGAATTGAACCAGTCAATTAAGATTAATGTTTGCATTAAAATTTGTGTCATCCTTCAAAGTATATTTTTTGACTATTATTTTGACTTACTTTGACCAAGAAATGCATATGTAAATGATGCCGATTGTGCCCAGTATGAGTATAACCAGTGATATGGCAATTAGAGTGAAGGGGAAGACTTCGTTATCGAGGGCCACAGCGGCCTTAACCTGAAGATTCATAAAAAAAGAACAAAATTAAGAGCTATCCAGATGGTATGTAACACAATTAATAAACCACCTTGTGAACCTGTTCCTTTCTCTCAAGCGGAAAGGATATATTATCGGCTGTGGCCCTGGGCAGGGCAATGTTCAGCTCGGATCGCGCAGCTGGTTCCAGTAGAGTGGTAGCCACAATGCTATCCTTACGGCTCACCAACTGTTCCGTCTTCGGATCGATCAGATAGAACCATATGTCCGTGGCGGCCGGGTTCTCCACCACCGATCCATTCTTGGCCAGGTACTTTTGGCTGCTCATGCGCTCGATGCCGCTGACCAGTCCGGTCTTCTTGTCCAGCAGCTCCTCCAGTTCGGTGTAGTAGTTGCGCAGATCGCCGGGTGCCGCATTCGGGAAGGACAATGCCATTCGATTGATATCCGCCAGTTTGTTCACCACTATGCGGGCTCTCGTTCGATGAGATCCCTGCTCCTGGGCATCACTATCACGAGCCTCCACCAAAAAGGTCAGCGGAAAATCGTTTTCACTCTTAAAATGCCTTGCAGTGCGCAAAACTCCACTATCCTCCGACATCATGAAAAAGCTGGTGGGCTGAGGGGGTATAAAAAATACATATTTTGTGATGTACATATATGTAGGTATATGTAGGTATATCAAGCCGAGATTACTTACCATATTCACCCGATTTTCGTCATCGTCGTAGAGGGCGTAGCGAACGGTGCCGAATTTACCCGAATCCCGATCTGTGGCACGCACCTGCAAAATGGTGGTGTCCACATCCATTTCCTCGGTGACCACGGTGTAGAAAGTGTCCTGCTGACCGCGCAGCCTGTTGAACTCAAACTCCGGCGCATTGTCGTTCTCATCCTGGACGATTATCTCCACGGTGGCGGTGTCCTTCAGCGGGTTGACGAAATACCGATGGGATGTGAGGCGCAGCTGGAGCGTGTACGAAGTCCTGTTCTCAAAGTCCAGCGGTTGTAGGAGCAACAGGTTGCAGCCATGATCGCCGGAACTCAAGTTGAAGATGCCCCCTTCGTTGCCGCGCACAAATTCACACCTGAAGGCCGGTGGTCCATCGGTCGATACCTTTGAGTTCACTATCTGAATGAGCTTGAGGGTGCTGTTCGTTTCCATGGACTCCGGCACACTGGTGGTGTAGCTGTCGTCGCTGAAGGCCAGCCCAATGCTTTCACTGCTCATCACCAGGCCGCTTTCCAACTTGCCGCTGTCCGATTTGATCTCATTGTTGCCGTTGGCCAGAAGGTGGTGCACATCGACGCGCAGCGGAGCCACCGAACTGAGCTGCGGTTCACCCAGGTCGTAGGCCCTGATGTCCACCTGGTACTCCGTGTCCTCCTCCTTGCGCAGCTCGTCTCTGATGCGAACCGCACCCGTGTCCGGGTCCACTTGGAAGTACTTGGGCGCCTTGCCACGCCCCACGATCTCGTAGCGAACGACGTTGCCGGGCGAAGTGCCATCCTCGTCGATGGCCGGCAGGGTGGCTATGATGGTGCCTATGCCCTGGTCATCGTTCACGGTCACGGGATCGGGAACGGTTATGAATCTCGGTGGCAGATCGTTGCGATCCTCCACATCCACCACCAGCTGAATGGTATCTCCTGGCCCATCGCCATCGTTCTCAATGGTTCCGATGGTCAGCTGGTGCTGCTTCTGGCTCTCATAGTCCAATCCCTTGATGGTCCTCACCTCCCCCGATTTGTCCGAGACCCGGAAGAGCTCCGCATTGCCGTGGCGCAGAACGTAGGTTATTTCCGGAACCGAATCCGGATCGAAGGCTTGCACCGTGGCCACCAGGAAGTTCTCCTCGTTCTCCGGAATGTGCACGTCGATGCGGGCATCGCTGAACTTGGGCACCTCATCCGGCAGGTCGAGCACCATCACCGTGACACTGGCCGTGCCCAGTCGGGCGTCGGGAGCTCCATCCTTGGCGGTGACCACAAACTTGTACTCGTTCAGCTGCTCGTAGTCCAGTTGCTTGGCGGTCAGGATCTCCCCGGAAGTGGCATTGATGGTGAACGGTATGTCCGTGGGTATGGAGTAGGTGATCTCGGCATTGATACCCTCATCGGCATCGGTGGCGTGCACCACTCCCACAGAGGCCTGGGCCCTGCCCTCGTCCACCTGGAAGACATACGGCAGGGTGGAGGCGTCGAATTCCGGGTTCTTGTCGTTGATGTCCGTCACCTTGATGTTCACGGTGGCACTGCTCGAGAGGCCACCGGTGTCCTCAGCCTTCAGGATCAGTTGGTAGCGGGTCAAACTCTCCCGGTCCAACTTTCGGATGACTATGATGACGCCGCTCTCCTGACCCACCGCGAATTGCCGCAGATCGTTGCCCGACACGATGGAGTAGACCACTGCATCGTTCTCCGGATCCTCGGCATGAACGACCGTGACCGTGGAGTTGATCTCCGCACCCTCGCTCACCTGCACCTCGTAGATGGGTTTCTGGAAGCGAGGGGGCTTTGTGTTCGGACCCGGCGTCACACTCACCTCGACAATGGCCTGGGAGGACAGTGCTCCGATGTCGGTGGCCTGCACCGTAATGCTATATTGCTCGCCCGCAAGCAGACGTCCTTGGGTCCGGATCTCACCCGTCGTCTCGTTGATGGTGAACTTGGCCTGGCCGTTGTTCGACACGTGGTAGATGGAGTAGGTGACCACGGCATTGGGACCCTCGTCGTTGTCGCTGGCCACCACCTGGGTGACCAGACGACTCTCGCTCTGATCGCCAGCAGTGATGGAGATGGGCGGCACCATGGCCAGCTTGGGCGCGTTGTCGTTCACGTCGCGCAGGTGGACCGTGAGACTGAGTGGGGCACTGGCCGCATTGGTGCGCGGTTCCCGGGCCACCACCTGAAACTTGAAACGACCCGGAGCTGGCGGGTCGCGAT